TCTCTTTCAAGATATTGTCAATATATGCATAAAGAATTAAAACTTCAATATTAATTTTTATCTATCTTCGTAGATTTTATATTCCAAAAATGTATCTTGTCTTTCCTAAGTCTTTCATTTTAGAAACACTTTTCGAGTCAAGGCGAAGTGGCCTTGCATAGTTAGAATATAATTTCTCATGATTAAGTATGACTTATTTATAGATGACTAGGAATACCACTATGTGCCCACTATTCTTAGTAAACACAAATGTTATCTTCGTTTTCATATAAAAACATACATTGTGTTTACATATTAAAATGACGATTCCAAACTTCAAATGTTTGTTTTATATCCAAAAATGGATCTTAAGGCTTACACATTTTGTTAGGATAATTCGGATTTAGAAAACTTCCAGGCCGAGCTATATAGATATTTTCAAGTAGGTGTCTATTAGGAAAAGTAGTTTTTCTTGAAATATATTTTCCATGTCTCATAATCTAAATATGTCATTATCGTAATAATATCCTTGTTGATCTAATCAAAACTGCTAGAGAAACGTTTTGATCATAGTCATTGACATAAGTATTGTTAAAGCCTTTAACAATAAGTCTTACTAAATGTGTATAGATTTCCATGTTTGTATTCTTTCTAAAAGAAATACTTACTCCTGCTAGCCTTCCTATAGGGAAGAATATTAATCAAGCCCACACTTGATTATTAAATATGGATTACATCTCAATGTTCATGATTTTAAGGCCCCGTTTGGTTCATGGATTCCTAAGGAATTAGAAGGAAATGGAATTTAAAATCCATAAAAAACGTGTTTGGCTTACCAAAGAAAATGAATTTGTTTTCATATTTACAATTATAATCCGTATATGACTCATTTACAATTCGTTAGTTAATTATTAAGAAACTAGATTCCATCCCATATCTTTTTAAAAAAAATATAAAATTGACCTTCCTTCCATGTGTAAACTATATATGCGATCTGTTTTCAAACCATAATAAAAGACGAGATTAAATTATCTCTCCTACGAATAAATTATTTCAAGCGGTTATATATCTCTAAAACGATAGCCTGTCAAATTTGTTCTTCACCCTCATTTTGTACAGTTTGTAGTTTAACTTTCATCTTTACACGATAGGAATTAACCTAATTGTTAGGCATAGTTGTTTTTTGAGTATGCCGATATTACTTTAAATTTTGTAATTTGATGTATCAATAGGTTTGTTGGATTTTGTATGATTTTATTAACGTAATATATAAAATTTATCCTTTTATAAATTTGCATATAAGGTGTTTGTTTTACCTATGTGAATTATTTTTTATTTAAAAAGTTTTTTATTTGTAAGAGGGTGTTCAACAAAATACATGTTAGTTATTTGTATAATTTTTATTTTGTAAAAGATTTTCATAATAAAAAAATTAATGGAAAATTAATTTAAGCTTATTAAAGAAAATAAAATCTCTAAAAAATCACTAAAGGGGTATGTCGGTCATATTACATAAATTCTTTCCAATTCCTTTGGCAAATCAACAAGCTAAACAAAAAACAGATTCCATTTCATGTCAACCAAACGCATATCAAGTTCCAATTCATTCGTTAGATTCCATTCCTTCAAACAAAATATGTGAACCAAACACCACCTACGTCATTAATTAGAATTAAAGTTTGATGGAGCATTTCGATAGTTTATGGATTTTCCAGAAACCATCAAGAAGAAATCATCAATGAGAGATTCCATATGTCGCATGTTATAGATGATTGCTACCATATGTGTGGACAATTTGAGTTTATGAATATCTATTATTTATGTTTAACAATTCTTGTTAAAACTAGTGCTAACTCTTGCTACATCAGACTATGGTTCCATGTGCCTCCCACTTGTTTTGTCATTAAAAGTTTTCTTTTTGATAGCTCAACTTTCAGAGGAATAAGAAAACTTATTTTTCATGGGTTTGTATAAAATAATCTAAGCAACCTTTTAGAATATTCTACAATTATATGTATTTAATAAATTTTAGGATTAGAAGCTTTAGTATAATATAGGCTTCAAATCCTCCAAACATTAAGTAAAATAAGGTTGGATTTTTTCCATATTAAATCTTATAAAGTGTTTTTTCTACTTCTTAGTTGGTGTTTATATTTAAGATACAAGTGATAGTGAATAAGGAATAATCTCAAAAGGATAAAGTAAGATAATTTCTACCGATTAGAAAGTACACCATATCTAGTAGAGTTTAGTTCATCCATTATTATCTCTAAGGCTTTAGATGGTACTACTGATTTGTTTCTCAACTTTATATTTGAAACTACAAAAGGTTTCAAAATTATCTTTTAACATGTAAAATATAATTACAATGACTATAGTTTTTAATAAAGTTGATTATGTATCTTGAACTAAATCTAAAAATTCATTAGAAAGGAAGTCATTAATCACAGTTTCTTAATAATTATTTTCTCTACAATTTAGTGAAATCGTCCTTAGGAATATTTTATATATAAATAAGATTCACATATGTCAAATAAGCTACATTATTTGCCTTCAAAAATCCATTTCTTGAAGCTGGAATATGTGTATTTTATTTATATAATCAAGATAACAATGCCATAGATAATTTGATTCAAATCAAGTTTAAGTCAAAAGTGTTTTGCGTATAGAACTTATTATTAGAAAACATTGATATTAGTTTATAATTCTATTAAGAGACCTAGTTCTCATAAATAGAATTTAATAATTTCAAAATATGAATGTGGTCGTTATGAAAAAAGATTAAGCAAATAAACAATCATCTAATAAGTTAACTTAAACATATATATTTAGACAGCCTATATTTGAAACATAAATTGTTCTAAAACAAAACATTGTTTTACAATACAACTACTTTATGTTCTAAGCAGAAATAATAAACTAAACTCTGAAAGTGACGTTCTAAATTAAGTGTTAAGTAAAAAGTATAACTTGTATCTAGTAGATACATGAATGACTGATCAGGCCAATCCTACTCATATAAGAGGGACATTTCCTCTTCTAGTATCTTATTTCTCTATAGTAGAAACAAGATCCATCTCTATAGGCCTTCCTGGATTTATTATGCCTAAACGTATCCTTGCCATGAACTAATGGCTTCTTAGAGCACACATGGTGACTCTTTTGAGCCTTGCATTCTTCCTATGTTTGAACTGATTATACGAAATACTAATGTATTTTAGAAATATCTGCTCCACCTGAAGAATGTGTGATATGCTTCTTAATTGAATAAGATTTCTTGAAAGTTCAGAATTACAAATCCCGGTATGATGTTAGAAACATCTTCAGAATCACAACAATGCTTTCACCAAGCATCATGTTCAGTTATACTGGTAAGTGCAAGTTGTTTGGGAATAGGGCCTTTAAGAATGTACAATTTGTGATCTCTCTTGAGATTAACTCTTAAGAATGAACCCATTCATTGAAATTGTATACATTGAATATTATATACTGTTTAATAGAGTCTACTTCATTTTATATGTGTTTCTACTTTAGTTATGGGATAAAAATCGTTTACTTTCATTTAGAGTAGATGTGCCTCAAATCTATGTGTTGATTTCAAAATTTTGGATTTATTCTTTGGTTATTATTAGTGTTTGATTGATCACTTTACCTGTCATGTTAAAATTATAATTTTATTTCCTATTGTTGAGTTATGTGTAGTTAAGATGCCCAATCTAATTACATTAACTTGAATATTAATTAATTTATGATATTAAACTGTTAGGAATAGAGATCGATGCAATCCTAGGGTTACGTAATAGTAATTGTTAACTTTGATTAGGTTAGAGAGCATTAGATATCCATGTTATGCTTTGATGGATTGTCATGACCATTGATAATAAATCACTAGATCATACCATTTATAATACAAATATATTAAATTAATTATGTTTTCAACAATTACTTGATCATTGAGTTGTTTATTCATTAATTATTAGTGCTAGGAAATCCGATCAAGATAACTAGTCATTGTAAAACTTGGTAACCAATTTATAAATCTATTGCACTATTAAAGAAATCAACCATTAGAGAGAGGTGAATTGTATCTAAACTGAAGTACTCTTTTAATCTTGATTTAAATTGTTATTGATAGTGTATGGAGATCAAGCCATAAAAAAGATGAAGGAGTTCCATTAAGAGTTGTCCAGTTATAAACAACAAGCCCAAATACTAAGGATATCAGTAGTTCTTAACAAAGCTGACCGACCAAGCAAACCGATAAGTAATATATTAAAAGAAAAGAAATCATCCGTATAGATTTTCAGGTAATACACTAGGAAACACAAAAAGGCAACAATGTTATATTAAAGGGTACTACTATTGCAACTATTATACATTCACAATACCCATTTAGAAAAGAAAGAAATCGGACCATGATGTCTGTATATATAAGACTTTCGATACGCACCAACAAGGTAGAGTTTTTAGAACCCCAATAAATTTTACTACTCTTCTATTTGACATCTAACTTAGGCATCAGAGAGCAATATTAGGGTATATCCCTCGGTATAGCTTTCTAACCTAGTGTTTTCCATCTTTGGCAGCATGCCTTCTAGATTTCACATTAGAAGAGGAGCACTTCATCCAGCTACCAATCAGTCAGGAGGCTATGTAGCAACATTGGTGCCATCCGTATACAAACATGCAAGAAAAAAAAATCAGCCTTCACGTCCCCTTACTAGACTCAACTTTCATCCCTATCAACTTAATCCTAGCATTCACCCCTATTACAGCGACAACATCGTGTCATGCCACCAACGATTGCCTCATCTCTACCAACAGAACCAACTTCATCCTGAGCACACATAAAAGAAGGGAGGGAACCAAATGAGGAATCAACGGGCAAAGGGAAGAAGGAAAAATATACAATATCGGTCACGGTAGCATCAGATAGTAGTTCTACTAAAGAAGAGAAAATATGTCAACAAGACCGCCTAAAACCACTCCTAGAAACAACGAGTTGACAGTGTATATCTTACCACCATTGTTATAGTAACACCTAGCAACAACAACCCCGACGCAACAAAATGTACCACCATACATATTTTTATCACCTCCATTCCCATATGCCCATTACCAGACATTTTGGCTGCCGCAATCCCAGAAAACCTACATTCCATAAAAGTCCTAGGAAAGTAAATAAAGACACAAATTCAGTGGTCACCACAAACGATGAATAACAATGGATATAAAGAACCAAACAATAATGTTAAAAATTATCGATTCCTAAGGTCAGAAAACTCACCTCTCGTTAGAAGCGTACGAGAATATCAGCTACCAATAGGAGTGAACATACCAGAAATCTCGAAGTACGAGGGATCGGGTGACCCAGAAAATCATATCGAAAAATACAAATGGATGATGGATTCTTATTACCTAGAAAAAAATATTGGTGTATTTTCATCCCAATGACCTTATCAGGACCAACGCGATTATGGTACAAGAGCTTACCGGTAGAAAGCATACATGATTTCAATCAGTTGGGAGAATAGTTTATTAGCTAATTCGTACAACAAATAAGATATATGGTGGATGCCCATCCATGTTTGGATGCAGACAACATGAAAACGAGTCATTACACGCCTTCGTGCACCGTTTTAACAAGGCTAATCTTAATGCCTCAGAAAGGGAAGACAACATAGAGATAGCCGCGTTCACTTATGGATTACATCCATGAGTTCTATTCAAAAAACTGGTCTGAAAACTACCCAAGTCAAGGAAGGACATGATGGAGAGGTTCCACCGCTACATGAAGCAAGAGAAAATAAAAAAACCGATCAAGAGGAAAGATCCTATGTTAAAAAAGACAATCGCATACCCTATGTGAGAGCTTAAAATCCAAAATACAACAATGTGAGGGTATAACGATCGACCTGATTCATGCACCAAAATCGTAATAATAAAATAGCAAGAAATAGGGGAAGGAATGATGTAGCAACAATAGGGGAAAACAAATGGAACAATGGAGCAAGAACAATAGAAAGGTCATCAAGTAGAGAACATGGAAAGTACTTTGAGTTCCACGAATCCTCCAGGAATGACACCATCGGGTGCACCATGTTGCAAAGAGAACTAGAAAACAATATGCAGGCCAGACAACTAAACGACTTGATAAAGGGACTACAGTCGAAGCAACTAGAAAGCATTTCCCCAGTAGATCCCAAGATAAAAAGTTTAGGGAAGAATGAAATCTTCATGTTTAGAGAAACGGAGCAATCAGAAGAAGATCATGAGTGGGACGATTAAAGAATCAAGTTTGACAAATGGAATTACAACAACAGTAATCATAAAGGATATGAGCCCATCGTAATCACATGATTCATAGGAAAAAACCACATAGACGACATCTACATGGACAACGGTAACTCGACAGATGCCATGTACAAACATTTCTACAAGCAACTCTGAGCCATGTAAAAAAGAAAATAGAACCACCCGAGAGGCATTTAATCAACTTCGTCGGACACAACATATGGCTAGAAGGAACGATGATGTTTCCGCTCACTCTAGTAGACTAAAATAATGGCACAAATAGTACTAAACCAATCAGTTTTATGATCATCAATACGTCATCATAATACGACATAATCTTTAGGAGAACGGCAACGCATAAATTCAGAGTCATAGCGTCAACAATTCACAGAATAGTCAAGTTTCATACCATGTCGGGAGTATGCACAATACCAAAAAAGAAAAGAGTTGGGAAAGTAGAGCAAGACCAAAAGTAGAACGACATGACTAACAAACTTAGCAACATTGCATTCAAACATGACATCGAAAAGTACAATCGACAAAGACGAACACGGGAAGGATGAAAGTAAGAGTGTGGAGCCTAGCACAGCAAGCCCAAATGTAAGCATCATTTTGAAGAGACGGAAACATGAAAAATAAGAGAGGAGGACATCTTAGTTGTTGTGAAAAAGTTCAATGGACAATAAAAATAACGACAAACAACAATCAGAACTCTTTTTGGTTAATACAAACCCATTAATTGTTTAATTTGATTAATTCTTTATAATGACAAAGAAGTTGGATTTTCGGATATCCGATTTGGTATCGAATCCGTATTTGAAATTTCAGATATCCGAATTTTCGGATACGGATTTGGATACCAAAATCTATTATCCGAAATTTCGGATATCCGGTTTTGAACACCGTTAAATATATGTATAGAAATATCTTAAGAAAATATAAAGCCATGATGTAAAATACATATACACGGCAAAACAATTGAATACAAACTGGCCAACTTTTTTAAAATCAAATTGCATACGTGCTATGGTTATCTATGAAAGATTTAAACTCATAACTTAAAGTTGTTGAAACTAATTTGTGCATTTCATATTAACTGTTGGATTTAATCTCACTTAATTCAACGTGATCGACTATAAAGTATAAACTATGAATATCAGATACGATGGATGGTTGATCAATAATCACTTAAATTGTCCTTAAAACCTGATATTAGACAGTTTTTGCTTCTGTCAACTTTAAAATACTAGTTTTTGTTTTTTGTTAATTACCTAAATTTATGCTATGAATTTTTTAGTACAATATTCTCTTTATACTTCTTTTAGTTTCTAAACAAACATATAAAACAACTAACACAGAACCCATAGAGATTTCTGCCCAAATAATCCAATCAAACATGGATGCCCTACCGGAATAATTACTGCCACCCACACACACATGTGCATGTATTGTGTGTATGTGTGTGTGTTTAAGAGATGGGCTGAAGCACTTGGACTGACCAACTAAAGTACCACATACATGTATAAAAATCAAAAAAACAAAAACCAAAAAACACATTGGCATCGTGAATCTATTTCACTTTAATTGACCCATAACATGATAAAAACAATGATTGAAAGAGGTTGTAGATCTTCAAAATATATCATATATGCTACCATATTCTAGGTTTTCTTCTTTGTTAGCATGCTGGCTTAACAGACACAGGACTCTTGATGCTGGTTGATATGGAGGATTTGGGTTTGTTCTTGTTGATGAAAATGAAGAATTAGGTTTCTTTTTGTCTGCTACTGAAAGGTAAAAAAAATGGGATATGTTTCTGCCATGAAACATAGCCCTTAAGTATCTCTCTTTAATGAGAAAAAAAAAAGCTCAGAAGGGATAGACAAGGAAGGAGAACGTGAGTTGGGTGGGAACGAAGAAAGATAGTGAAAAGACCTTTAATCAACTTACAGTGATCTAAGGTCCACACGACAACAAAAGGTAAGGAGATAGAAGATGTGGTTGGGTCTTACAAGGTCAAGAATAGGTCTTACAAGGTCAAGAAAATCAAATCTACAAGAAGAAAAAAAAGCAACAAGTCAAAAAATAAACAAGAATCAAAACCAGAACTATAGAGGAAAGGTTGATTAGGATGAAAGCTCAGGTAAGGATAGCACCGAATTTAGAACAAACAAACAGCCACAATCACAACGTTTTCGTCCTCCTCCTCTTCTTCTTTCTCCTCTCTCGCCACAACATCATCATCATCAACGACCTCGTTCATTGTAATTGAAACTTCACTATCTTCTTCCTGCATAAATCTATATACACAAATATATGTAATTCAGATTAATGATTTGTACGAGGATTAAGATAGGATGATTTGACAAGTGCTATTCGTCGAATATTGGTTTTCTTACCTAAGAACGATGTTGGAAATGTTTGTTCCTTTTGCGGACTGAAAAACCTAGAGAGAGAGAAAGAGGGGATTTAATTTGAGAGAGAGAGAGAGAGAGAGATAGATGTAGAGTTTTAGAAAGAGGGGATTATATAAGAAGAGTGGGAGGATACGTGTGTGAATGCCCTGATTATGTAAAACCTGACATTGACAGGTCCAAAAGGCCCAGAAGAAGAATTTGGTAACTGATGCTTTTCCCCTGGGGGCCTGAGTCAGCCATATTGAGGAATGGGGTGTGTTATGAGGCTAAAGGGGTGTCCTACATTTTTTATTACGGTGGATATATAAATTGTTAGTATTTTTTTTTTTATTTTTTATTTATTTTTTTTTTATTTTTTTTACAATTTTTCCCATTTTAAAAAAAAAATGGTTAGGAGTGGTGTTAAAAATATTAAATGTGTATTGTAAGATTAACAGTGAAAGGTTTTTCTATATTCAAGGTAAAAAAATGTAATTTAATAAGATGTGGTTGTGAGTTATTTATTATGCAGGGTCGATTTTGTTAGTTTTTATTTCTATAGGGATATATCGTGGCTTGCTATTAGAGAAATTATATAAACATAAACATGCAGGTTATATTCCGTGTTTAGTTCTGGGTTTAACCGGACTTGAACCAGATATCGGATCCGGAGTATATAATGTTGGATGGTAGTTGTGATTGATCAAAACTCATCTTTTGCATCTGAAGTTTCTTTCGTTTTTCTCTATCTCTTCCACCTAATTTTAGGGTTTCTGTCTGTAATCTTTGTATTGTGATTCCTAGAGTTGTAATGGTGTTCTGATTCTCTTGTATCGATTTCTGTGTGTTGTAATGGTGTTCTGATTCTCTTGTATCGATTTCTGTGTATTTTCAATGAACACTAAGTGGATCTTATTTTTTCATAAATAAAAAGATATGTTGATATTGTGATTAGTTTGAGTTTTTGAACATGGTATCAGAGCGAAGTTTATCTCGTTTGTAATTCTTGTGTTGAGTTGTTTGTGTCCAGATCTAGACTGGTTTGGTTCATCTAGGGTTTGTTCTCTAGGTTGGATTTTTTTTCCATGTTTTCTTGCATCGATCGGTTTTATGCTTTCGATATTCGTTATCTCTGTGTTTTTACAATTATCTTTGTCTGTTACAATCGATTTTTTGTTTGGAGGTTGTTATCTTTGTTAGTTCTTCGTCACAGGTTTAGCAGTAAACGAAGGGCTTAGAGTCTGGTTTAGTACAAACACCGGTTTAGCCAAAGGAACCCAGTCTGGTTGTCACATAGATTGCATTAATCATGGTTGGAGAAACTCCAACTCCTGGTTCTAGATTTAGAACAAAGAATCCATATCATTATGATTTTGATGATTCATTGTTCTTGCATCCATCTGATAATGATTTTGTTTCTATCATTCACTTCAAGTTGTATGGTACTGAAAAATTTAGAATATGGTGATGTTCTATGAGTTGGGATTTAAAAGGTAGAAATAAATTTGTTTTGTTGCTAAAACCTTTCCTAAACCAACTGGAGATGAAGTTAAGATCCTTAAATGGGAACGTGTTAATGTTATTATTTTTCTTGGATTTTAGGCTCTATTGTTGAGTTCTTATATGCTAATCATGCTTGTGTTGAAGTTGCTTCTGATATTTGGTCTGAACTGAATGATATTTATCATAAAGCTGATGGTTCTTTTGTTTTTAATATTCATCAAAAAAATCAATTCTCTTACTCAAGGTGGTTTATCTATATCAGTGTAACATCCATAAAAATCATGCAAAATTTAAACTTTTAAAAATATTCCAAAACCATTGATTATTACAAAACTTGTTTCCAAAATAGTTCAGTGACAAAATATCCCAGAATCAATCATAAACAGTAGAAGGGTACGATCATGCCTTCGCCTTCCTGCGATCATCTGATGTACCTGAAACCACAACTGAAACTGTAAGCCGAAGCTTAGTGAGTTCCCCGAAAATACCCATACACACAACAATATACATATAATCACAAACAACATACTATGGGTCCAGTTAACCATCGGGTTGGAATACCCCAGGCACTCAACCATTAGGTTGGAATGCCAACATACTATGGGTACAATCATCCTCGGGATGGAATACCTCAGGTCCACAACCATCGGGTTGGAATGCCCACATACTATGAGTCCAATCATCCTTGGTATGGAATACTCACGACCCATAGCCATCGGGTTGGAATGCCTAGGTCTGTTGGCTCTTGCACAAAGTAGATAAGCCTCAAACACCAATCAAACATGTGCACATATATTAGATAATCACAGAACAACCTATAGATAGACAAATCGATCTAACAGATCATAACAACATAATTTCATCCTATCTACGAGGATACCGGTCTAACAGATCATACTAGCATAACATCATCCTATCGACTAGGATAATGATCTAACAGATCATAAAAACATAACACCATCATATCTACCAGGCTACTGATCTAACAGATCATACTAGCATAACATATCAGGATAACAATCAAAAAGGGTCGGCCTTCGTGCCTTAGACCCTTGAGTGTAGTGAGGAAAACTCACCTCAGAAATAACGAACTGAGGTGATAAGCTCAAACTCTTGAATCACAGCCACGAACTCCACCACCTTTATTTGCCATGAGACCACTCCCATAAATTTCCAATTTACTAAAATACCCCCAGAAGTCAAACTGGTCAACCCTTGGTCAAAGTTAAAGTCAACGGTCAAGGTCAACAGTCCATGTTGACCTGACTTGTCGAGTGCAGCACACTGACTCATCGAGTTCATTTAGAACTCACAAAGTCATAAAACCCTAGTCGACTCACTGAGTTTCCAGGCAACTCGTTGAGTTCAAGCGTCTCCAAAAGTTGGGAAAACCCCATCTGACTCGTCGAGTCATCTTACTGACTCGCTGAGTCCATGTAGAAACCACCCTCAGGCAATCTTCATCCGACTCGTCGAGTTGATCATGCAACTCGTCGAGTCCATTTAGTTCATCACCCATTCAGACGATTTTAAGCCACCCCAAAGCTCCAATTTGTAGATCTTAGTTCCTAGGGCATACTTCCTATGTAAAGTTGAAAATTTTACTTATATGCAAGGTGCTTAGGGCCACATCAAGGTAAAAGAGAGGTTGTAGGTGAGGAAAAGGCATTATCTTGCTAAAGGCTGAAGCTTTATGACTATAGAGACCTAGGGAAATCCATATATGAAGTTACAACTTTAGATCTTACCCCGACACCCGAAATGATACCCAAACATGCTAAAGTTGGCCTTAATCCCAACAAGGAGAAGATCTAGCTAATGTAAAGCCAAGGTAGCCACTTGTTACCTCTAAAACGATGCAAAGGTGAAGTAGGACTCTAATCCACAACCTCTTCTTGTTTCAAGCTCTAGTACTTCGAACTCTTCTCACCACAATCCACTTTCAAAGCTTACTATCACACAAAAATGAAGAGTAAACAACGATTTAGGGTTTCTGGACTCAAAAAGGGGATGTAAGGGATGCTATGGGGGGAAATGATCATTAAATAGGGTGCAAAACCCTAAGGATTAGAGTTTTCTCATTCCGGCTCCATCTCGCCGAGTTTGGTCCACCAACTCGTCGAGTTGGTCATTTAAACCACGTGGCCAAACTTGTCCTTACACGACGAGTCGGAGCATCGACTCGTCGAGTAGATCTTATTAGGTGTATGAAAGTTATAAAAATATTTACCTGGGAGTTGGGGTGTTACAATTCTCCCCCACTTGAACTAGACTTCATCCTTGAAGTCTGCTGAGGCGAACAATTCGAGGTAATGCTCCCGCATCTCGAGCTCCGACTCCCATGTCCACTCGGATCCCTTTGGTGCTCCTATTGTACCTTTACCAAAGGTACTTCCTTGTTCCGTAGAACCTTTACCTTCCTTTCCAGAACGTCCACTGGACTCTCCATGTAATTCAGGCGCTCATCGACCTGAATATCATCCAATGACACTATTGCCTCCTCGTCCATAATGCACTTCCGCAACTGTGAGACATGGAAAGTGTTGTGGATATGACTAAGCTCCTCAGGGAGATCTAATCTATACACCACCTTGCCAACTTTGGTAGCGATCCTGAATGGCCCGATGTATCGGAGACCCAATTTTACCCTTCTTCCTGAGGCGAATCACACCCTTCAAAGGTGAGACCTTCAGGAGTACCATGTCACCGACATGAAACTCCAACTCGGATCGGCACCGGTCAGTATAGCTCTTCTATCGACTCTACACAGTCTACAGTCGCTGTCTAATATGCTGAATCCTCTCAGTAGTTTGCATAACTACCTCGGTTCGTCCCATTACCCTGTGACCGATCTCACCCCAACAGAATGGGGTGCGACATCTTCGTCGATACAACAACTCATATGGTGGGGCACAAATGCTGGAATGAAAGATGTTGTAGGAGAACTCTGCGAGGGGTAGGTAGGAGTCCCAACTCCCACCAAAGTCAATAACACAGACTCTCAGCATATCCCCGAGAGTATGTGTGGTCCGCTCACTCTGGATGTCTGTTTGCGGATGGTAGGCTGTACTGAAATGCAGTCGTGTGCCCAGTTCCTCGTGAAACTTCTGTTAAAATCGGGAGGTGAACAGAACATCATGGTCTGAGACGATATAGATCGAAACCCCATGGCGAGTGACAATCTCGCGTATATACACATCGGCCAACTTCTCGACCGATGAGCTCTCCTGAATAGGAAGAAAATGAGCACTCTTGGTCAATCGATCCACGATGACCCAAATAGCGTTGAACCCCTTTGCCGTTCTCAGCAGCTTGGTGATGAAATTCATCATGATCTGCTCTAACTTCCACATGGGAATCTCTAGGGGCGGCAATTTGCCATGTGGCCTTTGGTGCTCGACCTTGACCATCCTGTAGGTCAAGAACCTCTCAACATATCAAACGATCTCTCCCTCCATGCACGAAAACCAGTAACTCAATCACATGTTGCGGTACATCTTGGTGGCCCCCGGGTGAATAAAGAAGCAAGACTTATGAGCCTCCTTCAATACAGTCTGTCTGACCCCACCAGATATCGGAACCCAGACCCAACCGCAACGGGTCAACAATCCCCGACTATCCTGCACAAACCAAGTGTTCTCACCCGTAATCCTCTCAAGCTTCCCGTTCTCCTGACGCATACCCTCTTCCCGGGCTTCCCTGATCAAGCCCACAAGTGGAGAATCCACTGAAATCATCATGCATGTCATTGGAGTAGAAGATCCATCTGACTTGCAGCTCAGAGCATCCGCAACCATGTTCACTTTACTTGGGTGGTAAAGGATCTCATAGATGTAATCCTTGACTACATCTAGCCATCTGCGCTGTCTCATGTTCAGGTTTGGCTGATCCATGATGTGTGTCAGGCTCTTGTGGTCTGTGTAAATGGCACAACGGACCCCATAGAGGTAATGTCTCCAAACCGTGAGAGCGAATACTGTTGGGGTTTTAAAGCACTATAACACTCCTATGTTGCACATGCAATCCTAAATGCTTTGGATCTATGTTTTCTCTATTATACATGCATATTTTGAATTTTCCAAAGCATAAATCCTAACTAGCATACAAATTCTCAAATGAACAATACAACTAGTTAGATGACTTACCTCTTAGAAGGACTTGTAGTTCTTGACCTTTGAAAGCTTGAGCACCTTAAGTGTGATGCCTCTAAA